CCAGTAGGAGGTGTGCAGGAGGCAGCTGATCGATGTTTCTCTCTCATCGATGTTTCTAACTCTCTATCCCTCTCCCTTCCTCTCTGTAAAAAAATCAATAAAATACATATAAAAAAGAAAGTATATTAGACAAAAGAAAATTATAAAAGTAATTTCAACTTCCTGAGAGGAAAAAGTACTGCTCTTAAATACAGTTTTATATTTAAATAATAATTTAAGATAATTTATAATATAATCAGTTTATAAAAGTATAATTTATTATCTTTTGAAATCTTCTATCTCATCTTCTAATTTATAATTAATGCAGTCGTCAATCCAAACCAAATATTTGAAATAAGCATTTGAGAATGAATGAACAACCCAGCAACACGACTACCATGAATCTGCTGCGTAGACAAGAGATTAAAGCAGCGGACAGGTGTATTGAGGCCTTGGATGCACTTGCATCACCAGCTCAGAATGCAACAAGCTCAGAAACAAGAGGTGATTACAACACTAGGGGAAAAAATGGCGCTTCAAAGTGAGTCGGATTATCATGGAAACGTCTACAATGTTGTACAGCAAGTTTAAGAACACGTTTTTGGCTGGTGAAGGAGATTCTGTAATCACAGGAGTGCTGAATAAATCTCTTGCCAAACAAAGACAGCACGGGGAAGGAAATAAAACCAAAGATCCAGGGAAGAAAAGATCCAGGGAACAAAGTCTCGAAAAGGAGCAAACAGGTTCAGAGACTATACATGGAGGATCGGATGCTCAAGACAGAAATCAACCACAGCATAATGGAGACAGCAACGAAGAAGGCAAAGCCGAGGCGGCGGTAAGAAAAAGCCGTCCAGTGCAGAGAGAGACTGAAATTATCTCCGCAGGACGCTACGCTAGATAAGGAGGTTGACACACCTGGAACATAAAAAACATTTGAGAAGTATGTAATAGTTTTAATTTGAAATATTCAGACTGTTGAAAATTTTAAATTTTTATAAGCATCGGTTTTGATGTTTAAAACTTGTTTGAGGGATAAAATCCCATGGTCTTTGTTTCAAAGGAAACACTACTTACTTGTGCTTGTACAGGAGTAACAGCTACATTATACAGTAAATGTGAGGGAAATCCATTTAGGAAATGCTGAACTGCTTCTGAGACAGTGGTTGGAGAATATTCTCAATTAGTGTGTGTATGCTCATGTGTACTTGATAATAGAAAAAAAGTTACATTTTTAAAACGACTACTTATATAAACCTTTCCTCTTTTCCCAACTATCATGAGCTTTGTGCATAGTTTTTACAGACCTTGAATTTATCAGACTGTCTTTCCACTGTTGGTGGGTTTTGTAGAAGTTATGTATTTTTATGATAGATAAATGTTACTTCAATATAATTTCTCCCTTCTTCTCCCTAAAGTTAATCTTACCATGGTCTACATTGTGCTAAATCATCCGGCTGCTTTGTAACAATATGTGGTCTCTATGCCTTTTTGTATGATATCCAAACTGTTCTACAAACAAATGGGGTGTAACAAAACCCATGTTAACTTTAGAGGGTAATTTAGTTCCGTGGCTAGGAATTCAGTGAAGCCGCATGACTTTCCTGCAGAGAGCAGAGTGGGTGTATATAGGAATGAACCTGGCTCTAGGGTTCAGCCACCTCAGATCCTTTACAGGTTTGGCTCAGTGGATAGAGCGTCGGCCTGGGGACTAAAGGGTCCCAGGTTCAATTCCGGTCAAGGGCATGTATCTTGGTTGTGGGCACATCCCCAGTGGGGACTGTGCAGGAGGCAGCTGATCGATGTTTCTAACTCTCTATCCCTCTCCCTTACTCTCTGTAAAAAACCAATAAAATATATTTTAAAATAAATAAATAAGTCACTAAGTAGTATCTTTTTAATTGGAGAACAATCCATGATACTCATGCAAATAAATAAAAGTAAATACCATATAACAAAACTAACCTATGTGAAAACATGGCTATATCAGAGGGGATTTTTATTTCTGTGTGGTTCATGTGACAGGATTGCAAAGAGTGGGAACATCAGTTGCTCTGAGGCAAGAAGACAAAGGAGTGGTTTTTTTTTTTGTTTTTTTTTTTTTTGTAAAGATTTGTTTTATTTATTCTGGGAAAAGAGGAGGATAAATAGAACTGTTTTCCAATTTGCGCTCCACTGTGTACACACATACCCACACGCATACAAAAAAATACACACACACCAAAAATACCCCAAACAAAAAAACAAAACAAAAAGAAAACAAGAATTAAAAATCAAAACACCCTCAAACTGCACCAATACTTTGGATTTTGACCAAAAGAATAGATCCTGGGAGGAAGTGCAAAATGCAAAATCAAATGACCGAAAATGCTGAACAAACAGCATTATTAATATACAAAATATTATATTACTGAACTAGTAACAGTTGATGTTCTCCGTGTCTGTAAAACTTTGGAACCACATAGCTGATTTGTTAAATCTAGTCCATGCCAACTTCCAAAAACCAGAAAAGATTTTAGTTAGCTTCATTCTTTGATGCCTCATCAAAATTTTCTACAAGATCTGGAACATCATCATCTTCCTCATCAATGTCTTCTGGTTTTGGTGCTTTGCTATCCAACACTTGCCGAGGGAACTGTTCAGCTAACTTCCTACTTGTTAAGCAGCTGTCAGCACCAAGCTGACTTAATATTCCAGGAAGCATTTCTGTGATTGGTTTGGCTTCTGCATGACCGGTAATTGCAAAGGTGTTAGCAGAAAGGGAAGCTTGGACTTTGGGATTGTTGAAATGAATAACTGTTCCATCATCTTTAATCATATTTACCTCTTCAATACCAGCTATATTATTGACAGCCAGTTTTTTTAGAGAACTCTGAAGTTTTTTGTCATCAGCTGTAGCTGTTCTATGTACCACCTTCTTCTTTCTGCGAGCTGTACCCTTGCCCCCTATCCGGACCTGAGCCTGAAGTTTGGCTAACTTTTCTTGATTCATGCTGTTGGTAAATCTGAAGCAGGGAGAGTCCTCCAACACCAGCACGCGGCAAGAGCAAGAACCGGAGTGGTTTTTGATAGCCTGCATATTCACATATATGGACTAAATCAGGGCGAACCGAGGTTTACACACAGAACTTAAGGGTCACTTAACAGATGGCATTTCTAAGATAATGTGATAGGTCAGTTGGTAGTTCTTAGTAGCTCTTTGAAACTATCAATATGGGAAAGGGGCTTTTAATACGTCAGTGTTTGCATGTGCCATGCATTGTATGTTTTGACTTCTCGGATAATTGTTTTCATCTATAGATACTTTTTTATCATCAATTATTAACTTATTTCAGTAATTGGAGTTTCACTGTTTTGAAGGAACTCTTGCTATTACATCTGTTTGGACTTTAGTACAATCAAAATTTGTACAGATTATTCTAGTTAAGCCGTATCAACATGTAAACTTGTTTTGATTAAAGAATTTTTCTGTCAAACTCTAAAAAAAAAAAAAATTAAACCAGACACTAAGGAGGCACTACTTACCAGGAGAAGTGTTATCAGGCAATTCACCTAACCTCTCTGTGCCTCAATTCCTGCCCAAATAATGGAGATAACTGGGACCCACTCCTAAGGATGTGAAGAGGGTTAAATTGTGGAAAGAACACAGAGCGGTGCCCAGGTGTCATGAATACCACAAAAGTGTGTATACTTTTATTCAGACTTCATTATACTTGTTCTTCCCACCATGATTTGAAGAGTTTTATCTTCATGTCTCTATTCATGCATTTTTATACCCAGAATTAATCTTCCATATTCTTCTCTATCAATCATGCCCATCCTATATAATAAAAGGCTAATATGCAAATCGACCAAATGATGGAAGGACTGGTCACTATGACGTACACTGACTACCAGGGGGCAGACGCTCAACGCAGGAGCTGCCCCCTGGTGATCAGTGCTCTCCCATAAGGGGAGCGCTGCTCAGCCACAAGCCAGGCTCATGGCTGGCAAGTGCAACGATGGTGGTGGGAGCTTCTCCCACCTCCACAGAAGCACTAAGGACCCCACGGAGGTCCCAGACTATGAGAGGGCGCAGGCTGGACTGAGGGACCCCCACCCCTCCACAGTGCATGAATGTCATGCACTGAGCCTCTAGTTATAACATAAAATCTCCTCGGAAAGCCTAACAAGAATCACTCACCCTTACTCTGACTAGTCCTTAAATATGCAGCATTGCCAAATAAATAAACAGCCTTGATTATCTCATTTTGCACTTGTACACAATAAGGTATGCTCAATCAATCTATCCACCAATATAATCACAATTTATTATTTGTTAGGCTAAAAAATTTGACAACTAGGACAAATTCTTTAAAGTGAATACACTCATCCACTTAAAGATCTGATTTTTAAAAAAATAATAATATATAAGCGATTAAGTTTAAAAGAACATGGGAAGAAAAATAAAAATCTTTTTGTATAGAAAGAGTTGGTTAAGTTGAGAGACAAGTACAATGCACTTCCTATGGAAAATGTAGAGTACCTGCACTCATGTGCTTTTAGGTATGTTGTTTCCCAATGAAAAAAAATGAAGGGGAAGATTCTTCTAAGTTCTTGGAATACCCAAAAACATAAATGCAATGATCTGCACATATCAGAAGAGATACACAATAAAAACATTAAATTATTGAGGGGAATGATTTAATTACCTTTAAAATAGAGAAGCAACTATTTTTAATGTTGCTAGCTTTAAAATTTTTGACTAAATTTGATTATTTGGTTTTAATGCATAAATTAATTCTGCATGAAAATGAGTAACAGGTTTAGTTTTCTTTTATGCAGATTGCTAATTAGTACTAACTTAATCTCACAGTTGAAAAAACTGATTTGAATCCATAGGCAAGTGAGAAATTAAATAAAGACTTTAAAGATAAATTATTAGAAAACAGTACTCTGCTGGTCATCTAATAATATATATTAAATCATTACATAATTGCTTTGGTAGGATTGTTTATTAAATTTCTAGAAAATATACATGTTACTACCTGAATGCTATCAGAGACTCTAAAATTTATACCACACACACAGACTTTTAAAAACATGCAGTGCACTTTACTAAATACTTACTGAATCATACTGAGGACTGGACATTGTACATTTCTACTTTCAGACAACTCACAAGAGGTACAAGAAGTGTACATAAATTGTCATGGCCTTCCAGAAGAAGTAAATCTTTATTTTGTCTGGAGGTTGGGGAGTGTGAGGAGGGCTTTATCCAGGAATGAGAATTTGCGTTAGAAATTAAAGGAAAGTAGAACAATTAAATAGATGTGTCTGCTCAGTGCAGGAGGGAAGGGAGAGAAGGCAGGCAGGACCACAGTGCTACACAACTGTGGGGGAGCAATTGCAGGGGATGTGAACGAGGCCCCTGAGGTGTTCGGTACCAGCCTACATGGCCACATGCAATAAACTTGAGGGGAGAACTTTCTAGGCAAAGAAATAGAAAAGGAAGACAAAATGGTTGAAAAATGATCAATACCAAATAAAGCCATGGGTTGAGGGAGTGCGGCTGCTGAACAATGCGTACAGAGATGCACAGGAGAACATCTGAAAAGTTACTAATCAACCTAACAAAGTAGGTAGACAAGTAAAATGAAGGATTCGACAGCAATGCCTAAGGACCCTATTACCTCTGAAATTCCACGAACGAAACTCCTGTTACAAATCACAAGGAGTTGTGCAATAAACTGGCCAATTCTGTAGTGAGGAATAATGGGGTGTAAGTAAAAGCTATACAGTGGCAGCGTCAACAGAATAAAACAAGTGTCGTCTTGAAAGTTTACCTGACAAATTAAAGAAGTTCCCTCCTTTGCTCGATTGGCGTCCGCTCCCAACAGAAGCAAGCATTCAACCATGATGCTGTTATTCTGATCGCATGCTCTCTCTAGCATCACACCTTTTAACTCATCATCCATGGCTAATTTTGCAAAGCACTTGCAACAAAGGTTTAGAAACTAAAAAGAATGGAAATAAGGATTAGAGTTGGCTAAATACATGACAGTTAGCACACAGGGGAGAAACTTGGTACCTGTTGATCCTTCTGCTCCATGAGACTGGAGGACATCTGATGGAATATTACTGAGTCAAAGGAATAATGCACCAGCAGCTTGGAAAAAGACTCTGATCGTCCCAGCATGGTCAAGACTGTCTGAAATCCCTGCAAGTGTGACCAAAAATAATAATGGAAACATAAGCAATTATGAGCAAAAAAAGAATAAATAGATAATATAAAAAAGCGTGTATCTGATACTAAAAACCTGAGTTGTTCGCTCAACTAAGTAGATATATGTTGGGGGTTTGTACTTTAAAGCTACAAACCTTGAAATAATCCTATAAATACACCTTGCTCTCTCATTACTAAGAAACAGAGCAGGCACACAGAAAATAAAACGCTAACAAACCGTTGTCTAGCAAAGCAGGAAAAACTCCTAATTCACTAATATTTCGCTTTTAAAGATCCCTGACTGAAGCTATTGCTACACGATGCAAGCCAGGTATTCATCGGGATGGAAACATCACAGGCTGCAGTGTTGCAGACCCAAATAGGCCAGTAAAATTATGTTTTTATTAGGAGGTTGCAATTGGGTTTTATAGATAACCCAGCATTTCCCCCAACGTTTTGCGTTTTCTTCTGAAATTTTAACCTCAGAGACAAATGTGAGCCCTTGGATTTCATTCACGTTCAGTGTATTTGAGAGAAGCTCTCAAGGCACTCTGAAGTTTACATCCTTGAAGCAAATTATTTAGAAAGAACTGATCAGTCACGCCATTCCTTTTTAGAACCACCTAAGCATATTTCTAAGAGTTCTGGGCTCTCCACCCAGGCGAGATTTGAAGGAAAGAATGAACTTTTTTGTCTTTTCTATTACTTAGTGTGAGTAAACTCACCAAAGATCAGCTTAACTTTTTAAATGTTTAACATCCTTCAGTTTCATATATTATTAAGATCATCAAAATATTAAAATGATTATTTTGAGCACTTAAGATGCTGAGTTCCTATAAATAATTCCTAATATTTGATAAGAGGCATAATCTTAATTTATGCAGGTCTAAGGGACATGTGGTCCACCCACCTCTATAGCAGAGGTCCCTGCAAACTCAAATGCAGCGGCAAAGCAGGTAATGCGAATGAATGTGCAGAAGGCACCTAGTTCAAATTAAAAAGATATAAACACTGAACCGGCCAAATAAAGTATGTTGGCAGGTTGAATGCACGAGGTCAATAGTTTGCAACCTCTACTATAGAGAGCCTAGAATTTATGCCCAGATGACTTCACACTGAGTCACTGAGAGTCCCATACCTGCACAAAACCATATACTTCCCCTTGGATTACTTTTAACCAATTCTGCCTTGGCGTTAAGCAGTCTCGGTAGAGGCACATTATAAAGAGCATATTTATAAAGCACATTGTTGTTTTTAATCTAAGAATATTGTGTGTTCAGCAGCACTTTATAATTGAAAACTTTATATCCATTATCTCATTTACTAATAATGTCTCTGCAAAGGTTAGAGCTGAGACATTTTTATTCCATTTGTGAAACTATTTGCTGAGCATGGTTTATGAAAGTTGTGAACTCCATTACTGAAAACCACAACCAGGGCAGAAATTTTAAAGAAACTATTTGTTTTCCCAACATTCGAAAGGGGGGGGGGGGAAACTTGAAAGAATGTATTTCTTAAATCTTGCCTTAATTAACCCTAAGGCAGTATCTTGGATTCCTCATAAAAACAGTGATTGATTATATATCATATTTTAAATGTTGCTTGATGAAAAAATTTTTTAATATTGTTTCACTGCAAGAAAAAAATTCAAGGAGCAAAAATACTACAGGTAAGCAGCCCACAACAAAACACAGAGAATGACAAACTTCAGAATAATTATAACTTCTATTTATACAAACTCTAAGCAAATGCAGCTCAGCTACCTAGACTCTCTTCAGCACACTCTCTGTTCTTTCATGGAAAAGACAAATGGCAAATAAACAAGCTGGTCTTGGAGATTT